TATATATATATTTGTAGATATATATTATAAATATAGATATAGTATATATAATATATATAAGCTATATATTATATAAAGCAATATATAATTATATATACATACTATATATATATATATATAGCTATATATAAGCAATTTATATTAGTATATACATATATAGTTTACAAGAAATTGTCTTAAATAAAAAAAAATTAAAAAAATAGCCCGGAACGAAAAGGCCCGTTTAGGCCCGTGGGCCCGGCCCATTTAGCCCGGGACCATGTGGGCTTAGGACCACAGTGGGCCGGTTCCACCCATTGGGACCGTTAGGCCTGACCCGTTTGGCCTGGGCCCGGACCACAATACAGCCTTACTTCCCCAAAAGGATTGACAACCCCCCACCCACCTCCCACCCCATCCCACCCCCGCAAAGAAAGTATTTCTACTTTCTTTTGCTGGTCATCCCAAAAGAATAACACACTCTTAAAAGATCAACATTTTCTCCATACTCTTTAATAATTTTCAATGTCTCAAAAAAGGTTAAATGCACCCACTTCTATGGCACTCACTGATTGGAATGTAATAAACCTTAAATCTTACATTAACGAGGGTGCTCATAGTAAAAATATGAAAATTGGAACGAATACTAAGTGAATGATGTCTATTTACCTCCCCACTTCATATTTAATACTATGATTTACATTGAAAATCTGGATCGATCAAGCGGGTGCATAAAATATGTATCATTTATTCATTTCATGAAATTGGGCGACAAGGGAGAGCAATAGATTACTGTTTAATCTGTTTTAGACGGTGATGAGCACAGCAAAGTCAGAGAGGCTTGATTAATTTTTCACCCTTTGTTCTTATTCCCTCATCCTAAATGGATGACTTTTTTTAAGTCTGATATTTAAATGGATGACTTAGCTTACTTATGCCGTAGAAACTGACATCAGACGATTGGCCTTTTATCTGCATCTTCCCCCTAATGCTATGATGTTGACACAATATGGTTGGCCGCATTTTCTAATTCAAAACAACTAGGCTAAGAGTAAAAGCTTTCAGTTTAGCAGACTAGATAAGAGTCAGGACTGTAAAAAGCAAAGTGACAAAATGTAACATCAAAATCAAGACAATAGGTTGTCAAGAACTCCAAATGGGAAGGCATAGCATGCTCCAATATTCAGGATAGTGTATGCAGAGACTGTGCAGGCTATTTGGTTGGAAAGAAATCAAAGAATTTTTGAGAAGGTGAGCAGAGAGGTGGATAGCATTGCTAGAAGTGTTGCCTGTATTTGCAATGTCAGAACTACTGCTGGATTCAGGACTTTGCTACAGTCATATTCTTTCTAGTTTCTTGTTTTTGAGTTTTGAGTTTATTTGTTTTCTAGTAAGACCTATGCCTTGTTACAGAAATAGGAGAAACCCTCCTTAGGCGGTGTGCTCCATAGTATCTAGACAAGGACATAGAGATTTGGTTTGCTGTTAATTTCTTTCTTTTTTGAAAGTTGTCTGTGTTTGGCTAAGCTTTGCTTTGTAATTCTCTACTTTGGTGATTAACGAAATTGTTTAATTACCCAAAAAAAAAAATCAACACAATAGGATTCGAAATCTTTTTACAAGAGGTGGAGTTCTTTGAGAAGGAAAAATCTTGTGTTAAAGGAAATGCTCTATTCACCGAAAACAGGAGGAGTTGGAAAAGCAACATGAGATCATAAAGACGCAGTAATATTGGTATTACTATTGCATCTTAGGAGTTTTAGCATAATTACAAAATAAAAATCATGATATCCAGTCTGAAATGGAGAAAATCCATTGCTATAATCTCTCCCTCCCTCCGTCCCTCCATTACATATGCCAATTGCATCGAGAGATTGACCAGTGTTGTCAAAGGCGCGCTTAAGCCCTGAAGCGAGGCTCAAAACATGTTGAGCGCTTCGCCTCGCTTTGTGGGCGCTTTAGTGTCGCATCAAAGCTCTAAGGCATATTTTTCCTTATCAATGAGTGTAATCCTGAAAAGGCGACATTAAACAATTGATATTTCACTTTATCGTAATTTTTTTGTAATTTCTTTGTTCATATATTTGTTATTCATACGTATAATTATTAGTCTTGGACTACATATACATATTTTTACTTTTTCTCCGGTTGCGCCTTTTCTCATTAAAGCCTACGCTTTATTTGCGCTTTGCACTTAAAGCCCCCTCGGACCTTAGAGCTTTTTTGCGCTTTTCGCCTTTGATAACACTGAGATAGACTAATAGAGCCAGAGAGATCAGAAGAAAATGTTCCAAGAAAACTTTAGTTTGCATTCTCTATACTAGTTGACTCTAATAATCACAATGCTATTGAAAAGCAATTTCAATAAGACAGACAAACTAAATGATGTGTTACCTTGTAATCTGGAACTTTAAGATACTCTGACGAAACAAGGAGAATATTTTCTGGCTTCAGATCAGTGTGAATCAGTCGCAGATCATGCATAACTGTCACAAGAAATAGGAATGAGCAAACTGCTAGAGTTAATGGACATCAATATTCCTAGAATAAATATTTGCAAGCATATAAGTAGAGAAGCTCCCTTGCTCCAATAGTAATCATATGTGCAACATAAAATCCAACTTTAAATGGTAACACGATCTGAGCCTCACAAAGCTTCTGAAAATTAAAAGAGAAGTGTGGTAAAGATCAGTTCACACACATGCTACAGACTCCAAAAGTTGTCTGCCAAACTCCCGGACAAGATCAATGGGAAATGAACGATAGCTGTTTTTGCGAAGAAAATCGTATAAGCTTGGACCAAGCTTCTCAAAAACCTGTTAAGACCAATTAAATCGATCCTCAAGTTTTTACTCCCAGAATATCATATAAGAAGGAGCTTAGCTGCCCCTCCAAATCCAATCAAATCATAAGCACCAATAAGTACTTACAATACATATATGATTACGATAGTCAAACCAATTCCTTATTTGCACACAACTGCAAGGATAAAAGCAGTGGTACTAGAATCACTTCAATTTCGGCTGTCAGTAAAGGAACACAAAAGGAAAGATGATTCTTACTGTTTGCCACCAAGATCATGCCTGGCAAGTTTCTGAAGGACATCTATTTCAATCATTGCCGCTTCTCGGTATTTATGTATAGAACGAACAACTTTAATTGCCACAAGTTCCTTTGTTTCATTGTCTAGGCATTCAAGGACTTGTCCAAAAGTCCCTGCAATTAGGTATCAAATAGATACAGCTAAATAAATGAACTAAAATGTCTCATGGGAAGTACAAGCACAATATTAGGAAACTTCTCTAGAAGTATTTTAATATTCCTATATAATAGGGGATCCTGTCAATAGATACTACCAAAAGTACCAACCTTGATAAGCGAAGAACTATTCATTTTTCTGTCAATACTCAGTGAAACTAAATTGAAAAAATACTGAGTAACATATTTCATAGGCCATTTCTTTTTACAGCCAAAAGTTTACAACAACAACCCAGTGTAATCCTACAAATCCCACAGGTGGGGTCTGGGGAGGGTAGGATGTACGTAGCCTTACCCCTACCCTGGAAGGGCAAAGAGACAAAAGTTTACCTCAGACAAAATGGAAAATAGCAGGAATAAATCAACAAAAACATGTGAATGTTTTCAAGAAAAAAAGACTATCAAAAAAATGATTTTAAGCAGGCCTGGGGAAAAAATAGCTACATCAATAAAGATTGCTTCAATTAAAAAAAAAAGGTACGACATTATACTCATATAAAACCCAATAAACAACCCCTCTCAAAAACATAACAAGCAAAGGGGGAAAAGACTCGGGAAAAGAAAAGAGAGAGGGGGTAACTAACCTTCCCCCATTTTGCTGAGTATCCTATCTGCAAATACAGAAATGAGTGGATTACAAAAGAGAAACATATTTTACGGACATAATAATTCACATGATAATCATGTTGGTGCATGTGATCATCACGCTAACCGTAGATGTCTGTACGCCAAATTTAGGTTAAGGTGATAATTGGGAAAAGAAATTGTGCCACCCTATATTACTCTGATAGAAGAGCATTGTTGACATGACGGTAGTTGAACAGAATATCCAAAACACGGGGATTAATATTCCTCGAGCGGATAGTCAATTATTTATGGGTGTATGTAAGTTCCTGAATGCACTCAGTATCACAGATGTGGAAAAGGCGCATCATGCAACTAATGGAGAGATCGATGGCCTTAATCCTTTCGATAAAGATGACCAGGGAACAAAACTAGGTCCTACATGCATACCTAGAAAGCCAAGAATCTCCCTCTGCCAGAACAGAATGGAGATTACTTTTTTTAATCAGTAAAAAAGAGAGGCAAAAAAAAAAAGTTAACTAGTTGGTACCCTTATATCCTCGACCAAGGCTAATTCAACAATTGCCAGCTCAAATCAGAGTTTGCAGCATTGTAACTCACATATAGGTGCAAATCTCCTTTCCTAAGACACTTACAGATGCACATCTAGAATGCTTAGTACTACTTGAAATACTACTGGCTTGTGCAATTTGTCAAATACTAGAGTCAAGTTGAAGAAACCAATGTGAAAAACATTTAGATGCTAAGGTTCTAAATCATTGGATAGAAGGGACGGTAGGAATGTCGATCTTAGGTAAGAATAGTCGAAATTCAAAAGTGCAACTTTTCATATATACAAGTCAAAAAAAAAGATAATGGAAAGGCCTTTGCCGACCAGAAGAAAGACAGAATCACCTTTTCGGACTTATTGAAAATCCTGATAGACTTATAATGTGGAGTTACCTAGAAATTAATTAATTTTAAGGGAAGAAACGGCAACAACTTACAGCGAAGAGTTAAGGTTTCCCCAATCGCAAAAACATAGTGGCCATCTTTATCATCTGGTCTCCGAGGAGGAGATCCATTATGAGGGATACCCTTGTAATATATTGAAGAATAAGCATAGTTCAGCAATGCTCCGTTCCCAAACTCTTGCCCACAGTATATTGTTGGAAGAACCTAGATTGAATAGAAATATGTTAGTACATTTTGCCTCAATGCCTTTTCCCTTGAATGACATAATTCATATAGCATATCAAAGGCCATGAAATATTTATTTACTGATATGGACTACATCATGTTTTGCAATAGTACATGTAACCATATTCTGCAACAGTATGCCTATAGCATATCAACACCTTACTCCTATGTGTGATAGAGGAAATGATGTGAGTATGATACTTTGGGACAGTATGTCTAGATCAACAACAACAACAACTAACCCAGTTTGATCCCAACATGTGGGGTTTGGGGAGGGTAGTCAGTACGCAGACCTTACCCCTACCTAATGCAGGTAAAGAGGCTGTTTCCAATAGACCCTCGGCTCAGGAAGGGGCAGTATGTCTAGATCATGTTTTGCAATAGTTTCCATTAACCTATGCAGCATAGACATAGATAAAAGCAGTGCTAAAAGGACTAGGACATGGTGACATTATTTTCTCTAAACATAGGAGGTTGCGTGATAAAGATTCCAGAAGCATACATTTATTCTACTGCAACTATATCGACTTATATATCCTTTCTCACCCGTTTGTGTTGATTTTATCTTCTTTCTTTCAATCTTTCTTTTAAATGAACTGTTTGAACTAAATAAATTAAGCTTTTCTGAATTTCAACATCCTTTCACAAAATTCACCTTACATTGCTCAATTTAAAAGGTCACTAAAGACACATATGAATGTCCAGCGGTTGACAGTGAAATTATTCTCAAACACCGTTTAATGCGTGTCCTGTATCCTAACATGTACATAGTGATTGTTTTGAACACATTTTCTTCGCTCTGATATCTTAAACAAAGTCTAAGATACACATTTGGAAATGCATACTTACCTTCGGGAACTGGAGAATCCTTTCATAACAAATAAACCTTTCAAGCAACTTTGCCTCAACACTTAAACTTTATGCCTGATGCTATATTATGAAGGAAAAAGAACTTTCTTTTCCCCATACAGCTCCATATTGAGTTTTTATCCTTATTCCCATTAATATTTTGACTTCGAAAGCAATCTTAGGCTAAAATTTAAGTCACTCAAGAACTGTAAGTTTATAATCTTTTTAGGAATAAGCTACTCAAGACCCGTAATTTAGCACCCTTTAAATGGGGAGAAATGAAAGGCCTTACCGAAACCACCTACATCTTCTCACAAGCAACCAGTCACTAACCAACTTTATCCTTCTAGGCCTTACAGGCTTTTATCACCATTCTTGATGTTCGCATCTAAATCGAATTTCACAAGTACCTCTACAACTTCCCTATGACTGTCACATTACAAATTTCATATTTTGCTCAAAACAAAAGAACTCTTAATCACATATTATTAGCAATTTTTTAGTCATAAACAGACTTCAAATTCCACCAAATAAAGAAGAATAAAAACACAATAAAATATCAGTCAAAATTATTATATATATTATTGAAATCAAACCTTGGGAATTGGTGGAATTGGAGGCTGAATTGGAGGCCCTACGTCCCATGCCAAACGAGGCCGTTTTCGAGGTCGCTTATCTATATTTCTCCGAGGAAATTCCATTAATGGTTGGGTTTCCATATACCGATCTATAAAGTAATCTGCACGAAGAAATAAATTGAAAATTCAAGTGATTTGATGACAAAAATCAATAATTTCGCGGTTCGAAACCCTAGAGATTGAGCTGATCTGAGAATGAGAGCTAATTGCGAAGAGAGTAACCGTGGTTAGTTCACCCTTGGTTTGTTTGTAACCTTAGTTGGAGGTTGGGTGGGCTTAGGCATTTGCTTAGTTGCCTGGCACGAATAGGGCGATTTGCACCCATAGTCACTTCTAATGGTTTTTATTTTAGAACATAATGACAATTTTAAAATTAGTGCAATTTTAGTCTTTTTAATATACCCTTTTGAAATAATACCCTTTTTGATCGAATGATCATTGATCTTGCATATGACGATCAATTAATTTCAGAGTCAATCAAAAGATAGTTGGCCAAATTAGGCACCACATAAGATGATGAACCCAGTAAAGCTAAAAGATTGGAAAAAATTTTAGGATGAGGAGATGCAATCTAAAGAAATTCAATAAAAAAACTAAACTTAAAGTCTTCCATTCTCATCTAAAATATGTTTATCTTGAACGAGAATTATTTTCAATAATAATTTCATATTTTCTTACTCCAGAAAAAAAAATAGATTAATTGAAGTACTAAAAGCACGCGAAAGAGCCTTAGGGTGAATTGTAGCAAAGATCAAACAAATTAGTCCAGTTATTTACATGCACAAAATCCTCATTTATGATAGTTACAGGCCAATAGAAGAAGAATGAATTCATTAATGCAGAAACGTTAAATTTGAAATTATAAAAACAAGGCAAAATACATAGTTTACCCATCAACCTTGGAGCGAAATCCTTGTTACACACCTCTCCTTCACGGAAAACCTTTTATACACTCAACCTTTCAAAAATGTGTCTAAGACACACTACTTTTGACCAGATAGCGCTTGCGTGTTTACACACAAAAAAGCGTGTGAAGCCCCGAAAAATATCCTATTTTTCGTCTCCCCTCCACACAAGAACCCCTCCCCCTCCCCC